TTTACTCCTTTTACAACCTCATCTATTAAACAATCATGGTGACATTACACATCCCTGTCTAAGATGTACTATTACTGGGAAGTAATTTCCCTCTCCTCTTCACACCCTAACCTGAGCTTCACTATCCTCATAAAAACTCTTTACAGCATTTAGTAACTTACCTCCTATTCCATATATTTGCAACATCTGCCACATTGCTCCCCTATCCACTCTATCATATGCCTTTTCTAAATCCATAAATGCAATGAAAACTTCCCTACCTTTATCTAACTACTGTTAACATATATGCTTCAATATAAACATTTGATCTACACATCCCCTACCCACTCTTAAGCCTCCTTGTTCATCCACAGTCCTCTCTGTCTTACCTCTAATTCTTTCAATAATAACCCTACTGTACACTTTTCCTGGTATACTCAGCAAACTTATTCCCTTATAATTTTTACAATCTCTTTTGTTTCCCTTCCCTTTATATAAAGGAACTATACATGCTTTCCACCAATCCCTGGGTACCTTCCCCTCTTCCATACATTTATTAAACAAAAATACCAACCACTCCAACACTATATCCCCCCTTCTTATAACATTTCTGTCATGATTCCGTCAGTTCCTGCTGCTTTACCCCCTTTCATTTTACGTAATGCCTCACGGACCCCCCCTCACACTCACATCCTGCTCTTCTTCACTCCTAAAAGATGTTATACCTCCCTGGCCAGTGCATGAAATGAGTGCAAAGTAAATAAACATTTTAATGATGAAAAACATTTGAATGTCTAACACAGTTGGAAAGTAAAATTGCTACAATAATTTTGACCAATAAAAATTATTCATGACTATTTTATAGAATTAGTAATGAATTTAAGGATGGTTTCAAATATAAAAATTATACATGTAATTAAACAAATTGCTCTTCTTGAGTATTATACAGTACAGTGGACCCCCGAGTTTCGTGAGCCCAGCGCTTCGTGAATTTAGACTTTCGGCAACTTTTTTTGTCAAAATATAGCCTCGTGTTTCGTGATTTGCCTCAACATTTGGTGTTTGTATGGAATGCGTTCGAGCAGCCTCCCAGCGGCCACGCACACACAAAGGCTCCCACACACATCATTCAGAGTCAGTGTGGCATTGTTTCTCAGCGAGTGACAATCACTCCACATGTTCATACGATAAATTTCTTAATAATCCATTGTTTTTTGTGCTTGCAACTGTAAATAAGCCACCATAGGCCAAAAGAAGACTCCTAGTGCCAGCCCTTTGGTAAAGAAGGCGAGAAATACGATAGAATTCAAAAAAGAACACATCAGCCAGGGTACTTCCCCACACACACACTAGCCAGGGTACTTCCCCTCACACACGATTTGATTTAAGTGGGGCTTGCATATGAGTGAATAGAATTATCAAAGCTGATTGCTTGGGGAGCATTGAAAATTGAGTTGGGCAAATATTCTGTTAGTGGGATGGTTTGTGAAGGACCTGCCTACTATGGGCCAACAGGTCTGCTGCAGTGTTCTTGCTTCCTTATGTTCTTATGTACACCAGTCAGGGTACTTCCCCACACACACCAGCCAGGGTACTTCCCCACACACACCAGTCAAGGTACTTCCCCACACACACCAGCCGGGGTACTTCTCCACACACACGATTTGATTTGAGTGGGACTTGCGCATGAAGGAATAGAATTATCAAAGCTTATTGCTTGGGGAGCATTGAAAATTGGGTTGGGCAAATATTCTGTTAGTGGGATCAGATAGTTTGTAAAGGACCTGCTGAGTATGGGCCAACAGGTGTGCTGCAGTGTTCCTGCTTTCTTATGTTCCATACACCAACAAGAATCTTCAATAAAGGTAAGTGTGATGTTATTATTGTTTTATATTTGATTTCTCATTCTTTTCTGTATGTAAATCTATATTTAATCTATAAAAAAAAATAATTTTTGTTTTAATACTTTTGGGTGTCTGGAATGGATTAAGTGGATTTACATTATTTCTTATGGGGAAAATGGTTTCGAGTTTCGTGAATTTCGACTTTCGGCAGACTCTAGAACGGATTAATCACGAAACTCGGGGGGTCCACTGCATATGCATTGACAGGCAGTGTGTGGAAGATAATCACGTGCTACGTAAAGAGTGTAGGATATTAGTAAAAGAGGGTGACAGTTTTAAAACAGTTATTGTAGTTGTGAAGAACTACATGAAGAGCTATTTGCATTTTTATAGAAAAAAATTTCATATGCAAATAAATTAAATTGTGTTTTGTACAAAAAATTAAGTTTCTGATTGTGATATTTTTTCTCTTCATTGTTCCATACATTAATGATTTATCATTATGACTTTTAAATAATTTCTTTGTGTTTCATTTATAATGAAAATTGTGTTAACATTAAAAACCTTATTGATTATGAGTTACAAATCATGTTTAAGTGGTATGTTTTAAATCATAATAATTAATGGCTTAAAAATTGTTTTTAGAGTTTCTTAAGTTAGTTTTTTATTTTCTACAGAATGTCAACCAGGGCAGTTTACGTGTGATGATCGAACCTGTATTGATATCAGTCTCCGTTGTGATGGACTCGTCCAGTGCAGGGATCAGTCTGATGAAAAAGACTGTCGTGAGTACAATTTGCTTTCATCATTTCCTTCTTATAATCAAACATTTCTCTTACAGGTTTGCAAGCAATCATTGAAAACATAAGCAAGGGATTGCATCAATATTATTTAGAACATACAGGTATATAGAACATTCTTGATACAACAGTATTATATCACTCGGGTGTAAGCTAAGTATCGAATTGCAGGAGCCCCATATGCGATGTATTTTGTTTTGGTTTTACTTTCTAACTTATGAGTACAATGTTTTGAACAGGTTCAAGTTTGTACGAGTATATCTGATGTGCATGATGTCTTTTTTCTGTTTTGTAATGTACTGTATAAATAGCTAACATGGAAAACTGAAGGTATGGAACATAGCACATTGTTTAGATGATATTTATGTACTATATATAATATCAAGCGGGAATCCTTGAGATAAGTGTACTCTGTTGTGCAAGGTGCTAATTATGTACTCTTGTTTTTGAAGTTAAGAAAAAAATATAAGTTAATCACCAAGTTAATGATTAATGGCATAGTTTTCATGCACATTCTTATTTTGTGTAAAAAATATCCCACACAAGCGGACTTCGTAAATACTATATAAGGTAATTATTTGTTTATCCTGGATGCACTATTTGTTAGCATGACTTTATAGTAGGAACTGTAATTTTGTATATTAGTTGTAGTTATTTGTAGTCTATAAATAAACTACAAATTATTATTGGTAACAACTAATGGCTCCTCAGAATGTGCATCATTTTACTTAAAATTTCAGTCATAATACAAGATGCATATTGTAGTTTGGATGTTCTTTTCTCAATTAATTTATTCTTACTTCATTTTACAATAAAAGTTTATGAAGATGCTTTTGGTCTTTTACAACTACTGTATGATTTATGCATCAAAGCAAGTTTTATGAAAGGCTCTACAACTGTATTGTCAAAACTTAAAGGAAATATTCCACGGGATGCTTAACAATGGGCACAGAGCACCAGTAAAACAACAGTTACTTAAACACTTATACTGTACTCAAAACCTGTATGCTAGTATGCTAGCAGTGAATGGGTCATCGTCTGATAAACACTTTAACACATATTTTCTTAATGAGAAAACCACTGCCACCTATGTGTTTATTATGACCTCTCTTTTCTTCATTCCCTAATGAAGGCATATTTAACCCTTTGACTGTTTCAGGCCCCTTTCTGAAACTGTCATTCTATGTCGCTCAATTTTTGAAAAAAAAAATTATTTTTTTCTTATGAAATGATAGAGAATCTTTTCCCGATGGTAATGACACCAAAAGTTCGAAATTTGGTCGAAAACTCATGGAAGTATGCTCCCGTGAAGTTAGCGGTCTCGGCGACATATGCGTATCGGTGATTTCGCCGACTTTGAGCCCTATTTTCAGCCAATTCCATTGTTCCAGTTGACCAAACTCATAGCTATTTCTTTAGAACTCCATTTTATCTATCAGCTGATTACAAGAAACCTCCCATTTACTAATTTGGACTACCCAATACGGTGGTCAGAAATTGGCAATTTGGCCAATTTCACGCAAACTAAAAAAGATGCCAATTTCAAAATAGGGTCCAGAATAAACAAGGTAGACATTCGTGGCACTAAAATAACATATGCTCTGTTCATTAGTCACATCTCTAGGCCCCTCTTATATTATTATTGCTTTCTATTTTGATTTTTTATTCATACAAAAAAATACAAAATTTACTGTTATGCAGACTACTGCATTATTGTAAAAATGGTATAAATAATATCAATGCACTAGTGAAAGAATATTAGACTCCCCAGTTGACGTGTATTGGACGTGTGGTGTGATTTATTTACTCCTGAACGTTGGTAAAAATCGAACATTTCCGCTACTTTGAGCTCAGTTTCAAGGTCGTTTTCATCGTCAAAGTAATGAAAATCATCTCTATTTCTGTAATATGTTTTCCATTTTATCACCTAAGACCATGAAAACGCGAATACAACAATAAATACTATATGAAAATACACCTCAAAGCCGGCGTTTTATTCCATAAAAACGATCAGTTTTTTTTTTCTCATTACGCAATGTGTGCTGCAGGATTTTTTTTATGTGGTGCACACTGACCACACAGACCCATTCTCTCACATGTGGGCCTACCAGCTTTCTCCCGCTTGATTTGAAGCCGCTAGAATTATTGAGTATATATACGTCAGAAACATTGGCTCGTAAGACATATTTATACATTAAAAACAGTCAAAGGGTTAAGGCTTTTGTTAAGCAAGACAACCAGTGGAAATTTAAAGGAAATTATAAGACTGATTATAGATTGAAGAAAGGACATAATGAGCATAGCTCTGCTCCTGTATTTACAAACTTGTACTGTAAACACAAGCTCACAGTGTTTTCTAGATGTTTGAATATTTAAATAATTCACCTCACATTTTCAGCTGTCAGTGCTCTTGAATTTTCACTTGTCCCATTTCTGACTATCATTATTACTTACAATTTTTTTTAGGTATCATTGGTAACAAAAAAATTATATGGTGGAGGGAGAAACTGAAGTAAGAAGGAAGAATGAATATTGAATGACAGTATTTACTAATCAGCATTGAGACAAACTTAATGTTTGTGAACTGCTTGCTGAGTTGAAGTGGTGGCCCCTTTAATGTGATATATATTATTAACACAGTGCGTACACATGAGCACGTGTGCATGCACACGCACACATGCACAAATGCGTGCACACATGCACACACTCATGCATACACATGCACACACGTGCACACACGCGCACACACGCGCACACACGTGCACACACGCACACACAGTCACTCACACACACACACACACATGCACATGCATGCACACACATGCTCACACATGCTCACACATGCACACACATGCGCACACATGCGCACACATGCGCACACATGCGCACACACTCGCACACACACACACACACACACACACACACACACACACACACACACACACACACATACACACACACACACACACACACACACACACACACACACACACACACACACACACACACATACACACACACATACACATACACACACATACACACACACACACACATACAACACACACACACACACACACATACACACACACACACACACACACACACACACACACACACACACACACACACACACACACACACACACACACACACACACACATACACCACACACACATACACACACACACACACACACACACACACACACACACACACACACACACACACACATACACACACACACACACACACACACACACACACACACACACACACACACACACACACACACACACACAGAGTTTATGCATACTGAGTTTTATAACCTGTGTTAAAAATTAGATGTTATGCTGATTAGTTTGTTATGCAGATTTGTAGACCTATTGCATGTAATTGTTATGTTTAGCTTGTTATCATTTAGTGAGAATGTATTAACAAAACTTAGAGTCTTCATTTTAGAAAAGCCTGTGTAATGCAAAGGTTACTTACATGGAATTTGTGCACGTTTAGACATAATACTTTTAATTTATTTAGGGTGTGAAAACGAGGAATGGACTTGTTCAGATGGAACATGTATACCAAACGAGCAACAGTGTGACGGAGTTCGACAGTGTCGTGATGGCTCTGATGAAGATAACTGTCTCCGAGGTAATATTTTCTTTTGCAACCATTAGCATGTAATAATGTACATAAAAAGAGTAACCAGTAAATTGTATATTTATTTCTGACAAATGAGTCCTGTAGTAGGCTTTAAGAATGTGTAATAAGCAGAATTTACCTATGTAGAATGTGGACAAGAAGAATGGACTTGTGAAGACCAGTCATGTGTGTCACAGCAGGCACGGTGTGATGGACACCATGACTGTCCTGACAATTCAGACGAATACAGATGTCCTCCTAAACGTATGTAATATAGTATTTATTAACAAAATTCTTCTGTGTAATGTGATGTAAATAAATTCATAATGACAGTGTTATTAGTTTTATGACAAAAAATTCTTTTGACTTTAAACTTATCAAAGCAGTAGTCTATTTTATTCTTTTGTTTCTAATAACCTTAATGGGATTACTATTATTCCAAGACTTTTTTTTGTCTCTTACTAAATGATTATGGGGAAATGTTCGTAAGGTCATATATGTATTATGTATGTCTGCAGTTCATAAAAATGTGAAATTAAGAATTTTTTTCTAGAGTATTCATTTCAATATCTTTTAGGACTAAAATCACAGCTTTCTCCCTCTTATCCCTTTCAAACCAGGATCTCAGTTCTAATTTTATTAACCTGGTACTGATGTAGTGTTGTTAGCATGTAATCTTGTATTTTCTCCACATCCCATATCTTGTGATGTAGTAGTAGTGTTAACATGCTGTCTTGTAGCTTCTCCACACCTCAGATCTTGTGATGATGTAGTAGTAGTAGTGTTAACATATTATGTAAATTTTAAACACCATGGACCTGGTGCTGATGTAGGTTATTATGTTATGTTGTTACTTCTTGACTCCCCAGACCTGTGCTGGTGTTATGTTGTTATCATGTTTGATTTTTACCTCTCCACTCCCCAGTTCAAAAATAATATTTTAAAGGGCACAAGAAAAAGTGCTAGATCAAGTCCCTGGTACTTTTTAAGCAGACTTGTTACTTTCATGATATTGTAAATTTCATTATATTTGAATTGTTAACCAAGGTCATAAATCACAGCTGAGATCTTATTCATCTACCCCATATTTTGTTAAGTTAACAGAGAGAGAGTGAGAATTGAAAATTTGATAATATCATAAATGTAACAAATTTATGTATTTTTAACACACTGGATGTTTATTACCAAGAAAGGGTGACACAAAGAAGAAGATACATCACCATCATTTATTCTCTATCTCATATGTGTAGACATGACAATTCAAATATTCTACAAAATCGAGACACTCCCACCTCTTCAAAGTACAGGCACTGTACTTCCCACCTCTAGGTCTCACATTTGGCTAACTGGTTCCCCAAATCCCTTCATAAATATTACTTTGCTCACATTCCAACAACATGTCAAATGCCTGAAGCCACTTGACACCATTCTCTATTATACACTCACACATTCATTGTTATACACATACTCATTCTCTGGTATGCACTCTCACATTCTCTGGTATACATTCACACATTCATTGTTATGCACTCACATTCTCACACTCACATTCTCTGTTATACACTCACACATTCATTGTTATATACTCTCACATGCCTCCTGGATGCTCAGAGTTCCTAGCTCTATTAGCCTCCTTCACATTCTCTTACTTATTCTTTATTTTTTATTTTTATTTTGTAAAACAGCATGTTTATATATACTCTCGGATACCCATTTGTATATAATTTAATCTTTAAATTAGATAGTCTTGTAAATTTGTAGCTACAATTTTTTTTTTTATGTAGCATGTCGTTCGGACCAATGGACATGCTTAGATGGATCTTGTGTGCCTATAACAGCTCATTGTAATAGTATTCCTGATTGTCTTGACAAGTCTGATGAAAGCAACTGCCCAGTAGGTTAGTATATAACTACTTCATTGCTCTCTGATTATTAAATTATAATTGTGTATAATTTTTGGTAAATTGTCTGTTTTATCTTTCACCTTTACATTCTATTATTCTTGTATTAGTTTATTCCCTACTTTTCTTTGTATATATTCATATATGATTTATTTGAATCTCCAGTAAGTTTGAGAGCTCATTTGCCTTCTATATGGATTCTAGTGTTTTTTCTTCATCATAGTTTCCAGTTCCTAACATTGAACCACTGTTTTATTTCTTGTATCTCATTTCTTATTTTAAGAATAAACTGTTTTGCATTATTTTTATATTCCATATTTTCCTTCAAATAAGACACCAGTGCATGAGACACCGTATTTTTTTTATAACGCTTTTTAAAAGTGTATGTGTAGTATTTATGGAAATCACTGTTATATTATCATTCTACTGAGGAAGAAGCAGTGTGAGAAGGAGGGAGGGAGGGAGGAAATGAGAAAATGTAGAGAGGAATGCTAAAACATTCGTCTTACCATTTTGATAACATATGTGAATAACTATACTGTAATGACAGTATAGTTATTCACATAAATTAGTACTTTTATTGTATTGTAAATTTATAAGCATAAAAGATACTTTCTGGGTAGCTTGCCGCCCAGACGAATGGACATGTGGAGATGGAACGTGTTTGCCTGGCACATTACGCTGTAATAGAGTACCTGAGTGTCTTGACAAGTCTGATGAAGTAAACTGCCCTGTAGGTTAGTAAAAAGTACACAACTACTCTATTAAAGAATCACACACAAAGTGGGAGTTGTCACAGTTGCTCTTTGCTGATGACACTGTGCTCGTGGGAGATTCTGAAGAGAAGTTGCAGAGATTGGTGGATGAATTTGGTAGGGTGTGCAAAAGAAGAAAATTAAAAGTGAATACAGGAAAGAGTAAGGTTATGAGGATAACAAAAAGATTAGGTGATGAAAGATTGGATATCAGATTGGAGGGAGAGAGTATGGAGGAGGTGAATGTATTCAGATATTTGGGAGTGGACGTGTCAGCGGATGGGTCTATGAAAGATGAGGTGAATCATAGAATTGATGAGGGAAAAAGGGTGAGTGGTGCACTTAGGAGTCTGTGGAGACAAAGAACTTTGTCCTTGGAGGCAAAGAGGGGAATGTATGAGAGTATAGTTTTACCAACGCTCTTATATGGGTGTGAAGCATGGGTGATGAATGTTGCAGTGAGGAGAAGGCTGGAGGCAGTGGAGATGTCATGTCTGAGGGCAATGTGTGGTGTGAATATAATGCAGAGAATTCGTAGTTTGGAAGTTAGGAGGAGGTGCGGGATTACCAAAACTGTTGTCCAGAGGCCTGAGGAAGGGTTATTGAGGTGGTTCGGAGATGTAGAGAGAATGGAGAGAAACAGAGTGACTTCAAGAGTGGATCAGTCTGTAGTGGAAGGAAGGCGGGGTAGGGGTTGGCCTAGGAAAGGTTGGAGGGAGGGGGTAAAGGAGGTTTTGTGTGCGAGGGAGGGAGGGGGTAAAGGAGGTTTTGTGTGCGAGGGGCTTGGACTTCCAGCAGGCATGCGTGAGCGTGTTTGATAGGAGTGAATGGAGACAAATGGTTTTTAATACTTGACGTGCTGTTGGAGTGTGAGCAAAGTAACATTTATGAAGGGGTTCAGGGAAACCGGCAGGCCGGACTTGAGTCCTGGAGATGGGAAGTACAGTGCCTGCACTCTGAAGGAGGGGTGTTAATGTTGCAGTTTAAAAACTGTAGTGTAAAGCACCCTTCTGGCAAGACAGTGATGGAGTGAATGATGGTGAAAGTTTTTCTTTTTCGGGCCACCCTGCCTTGGTGGGAATCGGCCAGTGTGATAATAATAAAAAATAATAATAATAATAATAATAATATATAATATATATATATATATATATATATATATATATATATATATATATATATATATATATATATATATATATATATTATATATATATATATATATATATATTATACACACTCATCTGAGTGTGTATAATATATATCAAGTCCGACTATATGAAAATAACCGGTTTCCCTTAATCCCTTCACTAAATATTACTCTGCTCACACTCCAACAGATCGTCAGGTCCCAAGTACCATTCGTCTCCATTCACTCCTATCTAACACGCTCACGCACGCTAGCGAAATTATTCAAGAAGTATTTTGTCCTGTCTCCAGACAAACTCTTGTCTGCAAATGATACCACTACATGAATGACATATTTTATTCATTCTAGAGTATACAGTGGACCCCCGCATAACGATCACCTCCGAATGCGACCAATTATGTAAGTGTATTTATGTAAGTGCGTTTGTATGTGTATGTTTGGGGGTCTGAAATGGACTAATCTACTTCACAATATTCCTTATGGGAACAAATTCGGTCAGTACTGGCACCTGAACATACTTATGGAGTGAAAAAATATTGTTAACTGGGGGTCCACTGTATATCAGGTTTCTATGTTATTTATAATGTTTACTATGTCATATTAGATGAATTGTGATAATTAAATAAGCTGTAGAGTTGATATTAGGGAAATTAGTGAAGTACAGAATTCCACTGGAACGGATTAATTGCATTTCAATTAATTTAAATGAGGAAAATTGACTCTGCAAATGAGCGAATCCAGTTGCGAGCAAGGTTACGGAATGGATTATACTTGTAAGTAGAGGTTCCACTGTACTGGCAAATTTTAAAATAGTCTGCAGATATATGGATATTGAAGTACTTTAAATGCCAGTTTACAGTAGGCACTAAACCATTATTGGAATTTGAAAGAAACCCTGAATTTAAGGGTTTAAAAGGCTAAAGCAAGTGGCTAGTAGTGATGATTGTGGTGGAAAGTGGTGAGATTGCTTTGCCATGATAGTGGACTTCTTTGTCCAGTGGACACTGTCCATTGTTTCTGAATTAATTGAGGTTTCTTAAATCAAGGGTATGGTAGTTGCATGTAAAGAAACATGAAGATTTAACAGAAAAAGTCCAGAGACATGTTGAAAAATAGCTCCCCGAGTTTAAAAACAAGAGTTAAGAAGAGTGGAAATGTTAAAAATATCCACATTGATAGCAGATGACGAAACATGATAAAAGTCATAAAATCATTAAAGAATGTGAACAATGATTAAAGAGGTTTTAGCACCAACAGAGAGAGCAGGAGGTCACACTTGAAATTAGAAGAAAAGGCGATGCACAAAGTGCAGTAGAAAGTATTTGTTTTACAAACAAAGATGGTCTCCTGGAATAGGTTAACCCTTTGACTGTCGCAACCCCCAATCCTGAGGTGTCTCCTGGTGTCGCAAAATTTGAAAAAAAAAAAAAAAAAATTTTCTTATGAAATGATAGAGAATCTTTTCCCGATTGTAATGACACCAAAAAACGAAATTTGATGGAAAACTGACGGAATTATGCTCTCGCGAAGTTAGCGACCTCGGCGCTGTTTACAAATCGGCGATTTCGCCCACTTTGAGCCCGATTTTCGGTTAATTCCATTGTTCCAGTCGCCCAAACTCATAGCTATTTCTTTAGAACTCGATTTTTTCTATCGATTGAGTACAAGAAACTGCCCATTTACTGATTTCAACTACCTAATAATGTGGTCAGAAATTTGCAATTTGGCGAATATCACGAAAATTAAAAAATATGACAATTTCAAAATAAGGTCCAGAATGAACAATGCAGACATTCCTGGTTCTAAAATAACATTTTCTTTGTTCATCAGTCATGTCTCCAGGCCCCTCTGATATTACTCTTGCTTTCTATTTTTAATTTTTATTCAAACAAAAAATAGAAGACTTATTATTATGCAGACTACTGCAATACTGTAATAATTGTATAAATAACATCAACCCATTCATGACTGCATATTAGAATGGCTAGTTGGACATTTATTGGACAATGGCATCATTTGTTTACTTTTGAACATTGGCAAAAATCAAACATTTCCCCTACTTTGAGCTCCATTTCTGGGTTCTTTTTATAGTAAAATCAATCAAAATCACCTCTATTTCTATAATATGTTTTCCATTCTATCAAATGAGACCAAGAAAACGAGAATACAACCATAAATACTATACGAAAATAGACCACAAAGTCGGCATTTTAATTAAAAAAAACGGTCGGAGTTTTTTTTTTCTCATTATGCACTGTGTGCTCCAGGATTTTTTTTATATGGTGCACACTGACCACACAGACCCATTCTCTCACATGTGGGGCTACCAGCTTTTTCCTGCTTGATTTGAAGCCGCTAGAATTTATGAGTATACAGGAGGGCCCCACTTATACGGCGGGTTAGGTTCCAGGCTACCGCCGTAAAGCGGAAACCACCGTAAAGTGGAACACCCTTTTTTTCCACTTACAAATGCATACAAACACTAGATAACAAGTTTACACTAACATATATTATGTTAGCAATAGAACCAGGCATCAAAAACAATAAAAAAGTACAATACACACATAGTGCACTCATTACTTACCTTAAAATATTTATAGTCTTAATCTAGGGTGAGACAAGTAGTATTTATTGTAAGAAATCAAGTGTGGTATGTATGGTAGTCAGCCAGGCTACCATACCAGGCCACCCCACTCACACATACTATTCTATGATATTTAAGCATCCCAGAGCGATAAAATGTATATACAGTTCACTCATTACTTACCTTAAAATATAGGGTGAGATGAGTAGTATTTATTGTAAAAAATCAAGTGTGGTATGTATGGTAGTCAGTCAGGCTACCATACCAGGCCAACCCACCCACACATACTATTCTATGATATTTAAGCATCCCAGAGCGATAAAATGTATATACAGTTCACTCATTACTTACCTTAAAATATAGGGTGAGATGAGTAGTATTTACTGTAAAAAATCAAGTGTGGTATGTATGGTAGTCAGCCGGGCTACCATACCAGAGAGAAAGAATGAGTGCATGAGAGAGGACAGGCGCAGAGTTATGTAAACAAACCAGGCGAAGGTAAGTTTTGTAAACAGTGTACACGTCTGGTTTGTGTACAAGTTACATTGTGTACAGGTTGTCTCTACATTGATACGGTAGAATAAATAAAGAAGAACACTCCCATTCTCATGTAACATCATTTTGAGAAGAAATGATGCTCTGAGTGAAGGCAATGGAAGTAAGTCACTCTGACTTTTTTGGGTTATCCTAGGTTCTCTACACATATGTTATGTATTTATGTTATGTATCGTGTTTATTATATAATTTTGAAAAAAATATCATGGATGGATTAATGAAAATGTGTATATTAACGTAATATACAACATTTAATGATACACCGAGCTCAGACAGCGTAAACAAACAAACTGAACAGGTTGTGGATGATCACTCGGTCAGGCAAAATAGATGGTATTAATACGTGTCCAGTTTTAGTTCATTCATGTACATTTGTAAGAGTTTGTGAAACTTTTACCTTATAATATTTTTATTATTATTATAATTAAATCACGAAACAAATACTCTTACACTGTGTACAAGTTAGTACAGAATTATAGCTATAAAGTGAAGGCATACGAAAGGAATATTTTTCTACAGTTATCCCTAGTAACAGGTGACGGGCTAGAGAAAACGTAATTCTTCCGACACTTCTACAAACCATTTGGTAAACATCTCATATATATTTGTATAAATTTTTATACTGTGGGTGCATGTATCATGTTTGTGTGTTACATAATGTGTTTCTTATATAATTTTGAAAAAAAATATCATAGATAGATTAAGGGAAATGTCTATATTAACGTAATATGCGACATTAATGCGCCCAAGAGATTATTATTATTATTATTATTATTATTATTATTATTATTATTATTGCATCAAGAGTAGAGAGACTCTTAGTGATTTTAATGTGTACCTACATGCCAGCACAGTGTGTAAGTTTATTTAGGTACAGGTGTACACAAGTTTAATTATCAAGTACAATACATATAAAATATACAATAACTTTAAAACACTTGAAATTTTGGAAAGTTTCCAGACATAATAAGGAGATGTGCTCAGGGAGAATGTAAACAAACTCGGTGGGCCGCTGTGACCGTATTAGAAAGACAGGTGGGGGGAGCCGTATAGCGAGTTTTGGTCATAATTTGAAATGTCCGTATTAGAGGAACGCCGTAAAGCGGGGCCCTGCTGTATATACATCAAACACGGTACCTCGTAAGACGTACATATACGGCCGCGACAGTCAAAGGGTTAAAAGAGGAGGTAGTAAGAGCTGTAGCTACTAGAATATTTAGGCAGTTATTTGCCAGACAAAGCAGTGAAGACATGGCACAACAAGCAAAACACTATTCTTATGACTACAAAGGGTAATTAATACTGTAGATACAACATGGTAGTATTGTCACTAATAAAGAAGTAAGAGTGCTGGAAGGAGATTCAAGAGGTAGTAAATCCTATGAACAAAAATATCCAGAAAATTATATGTGAAACCACAAAGATGGGACTTCATGAACATTCATCTGTTCCTGTATTTATAATAGGTAATTAGAAACTGTTGGAGTGTGAGCAGGGTAATGTTTTGTGAAGGGATTCAGGAAAACCGGTTAGCCGAACTGGAGTCCTGATAATGGGAAGTACAATGCCAGCACTTTAAAGGAGGTGTTTGGGATATTGGCTGTTTGGAGTGACATCTAAACTGTTGTATCTGAGTGCCTCTGCAACGAGTGATTACGAATGATGGAGAAAGTGTTGAATGATGAAATTTTTTTTTCTTTGTTTTTGGGAAACAAAGTTAAAAGAATAATTGGCTATCAGAATATATTTAACCTATTTTTCCTATTTTTTTTCCCATCCTTTCAGGGCAAGGGCTCCTCATTCCCGTGGAAGTGGGAATTTGGTCTGATAATACAGGTGATGATTTTTATTCATAATGATAGTGGCATTTTAAATTACTGTATCATTAAGGCACATTTTGTTTCTATTTATACTTTGTATATTTCTTTTTTAGTTTGTGACTTTGATGAGTGGAGGTGTAGAGAAGGATTGTGTATACCTCAGCAAGAAAGGTGTGATGGTCGGAATGATTGTCCTGATTATTCTGATGAAGAAGGATGTCCACGAGGTATGGCATTTACTACATAAAATGGAAGATTTTATTCAGATATGTTTTGCATGATGGTAGGATTGCTGGTTTCTTTTTCTGTCTCATAAACACGCTAGATAACAGGGATATCTTGCTACTCCTACTTACACTTTGGTCACACTTCACAGACATGCACATGCATATATATATACATACATCTAGGTTTTTCTTCTTTTTCTAAATAGCTCTTGTTCTTCTTTATTTCTTCTATTGTCCATGGGGAAGTGGAAAAGAATCTTTCCTCCATAAGCCATGCATGTCGTATGAGGCGACTAAAATGCCGGGAGCAATGGGCTAGTAACCCCTTCTCCTGTAGACATTTACTAAAAAAGAGAAGAAGAAAAACTTTATAAAAACTGGGATGCTTGAATGTGCGTGGATGTAGTGCGGATGACAAGAAACAGATGATTGCTGATGTTATGAATGAAAAGAAGTTGGATGTCCTGGCCCTAAGTGAAACAAAGCTGAAGGGGGTAGGGGAGTTTCGGTGGGGGGAAATAAATGGGATTAAATCTGGAGTATCTGAGAGAGTTAGAGCAAAAGAAGGGGTAGCAGTAATGTTGAAGGATCAGTTATGGAAGGAGAAAAGAGAATATGAATGTGTAAATTCCAGAATTATGTGGATTAAAGTAAAAGGTTGGATGCGAGAAAGTGGGTCATAATAAGAAAGTATGCACCTGGAGAAGAGAGGAATGCAGAGGAGAGAGAAGGGATTTTGGGAGATGTTAATGAATGTATAGGAGCCTTTGAACCAAGTGAGAAAGAAATTGTGGTAGGGACCTGAAATGCTAAAGTAGGAGAAACTTTTAGAGAGGGATGTGGTGGGGTAATTTTGGGGATGCCAGGTGTAAATGATAATGGGAGCCCTTTGATTGAACTTTGTATAGAAAGGGGTTTTGTTATAGGGAATACATATTTTAAAAAAAAAGAGGATAAATAAGTATACAAGATATGAGTAGGGCAAAATGAAAAAAGGTTTGTTGGATTATGTATTGGTAGATAAAAGACTGTTGAGTTGACTTCAGGATGTACATGTTTATAGAGGGGCCACAGACATATCAGATCACTTTCTAGTTGTAGCTACACTGAGAGTAAAAGGTAGATGGGATACAAGGAGAATAGAAGCATCATGGAAGAGAGAGGTGAAGGTTTATAAACTAAAAGAGGAGGCAGTTAGGGTAAGATATAAACAGCTATTGGAGGATAGATGGGCTAATGAGAGCATAGGCAATGGGGTCGAAGAGGTATGGGGTAGGTTTAAAAATGTAGTGTTAGAGTGTTCAGCAGAAGTTTGTGGTTACAGGAAAGTGGGTGTGGGAGGGAAGAGGAGCGATTGGTGGAATGATGATGTGAAGAGAGTAGTAAGGGAGAAAAAGTTAGAATATGAGAAGTTTTTACAAAGAAAGTGATGCAAGGAGGGAAGAGTATATGGAGAAAAAGAGAGAGGTTAAGAGAGTGGTGAAGCAATGTAAAAAGAAGAGGCAAATGAGAGAGTGGGTGAGATGTCATCAACAAATTTTCTTGAAAATAAGAAAAAGTTTGGAGTGAGATTAACAAGTTAAGGAAGCCTAGAGAACAAATGGATTTGTCAGTTAAAAATAGGAGAGGAGAGTTATTAAATGGAGAGTTAGAGGTATTGGGAAGATGGAGGGAATATTTTGAGGAATTGTTAAATGTTGATGAAGATAGGGAAGCTGTGATTTCGTGTATAGGGCAAGGAGAAATAACATCTTGTAGGAGTGAGAAAGAGCCAGTTGTGAGTGTGGGGGAAGTTCGTGAGGGAGTAGGTAAAATGAAAAGGGGTAAGGCAGCCGGGATTGATGGGATAAAGATAGAAATGTTAAAAGCAGGTGGGGATATAGTTTTGGAGAGGTTGGTGCAATTATTTAATAAATGTATGGAAGAGGATAAGGTACCTAGGGATTGGCAGAGAGCATGCATAGTTCCTTTGTATAAAGGCAAAGGGGACAAAAGAGAATGCAAAAATTATAGGGGGATAAGTCTGTTGAGTATACCTGGTAAAGTGTATGGTAGAGCTATTATTGAAAGAATTAAGAGTAAGACTGAGAATAGGATAGCAGATGAACAAGGAGGCTTTAGGAAAGGTAGGGTGTGTGTGGACCAGGTGTTTACAGTGAAACATATAAGTGAACAGTATTTAGATAAGGCTAAAGAGGTCTTTGTGGCATTTTATGGATTTGGAAAAGGCGTATGACAGGGTGGATAGGGGGGCAATGTGGCAGATGCTGCAGGTGTATAGTGTAGGAGGTAGGTTACTGAAAGCAGTGAAGAGTTTTTACGAGGATAGTGAGGCTCAAGTAAGAGTATGTAGGAAAGAGGGAAATTATTTCCCAGTAAAAGTAGGCCTTAGACAAGGATGTGTGATGTCACCGTGGTTGTTTAATATATTTATAGATGGGTTGTAAGAGAAGTAAATGCGAGGGTCTTGGCAAGAGGTGTGGAGTTAAAAGATAAAGAATCACACATAAAGTGGGAGTTGTCACAGTTGCTCTTTGCTGATGACACTGTGCTCTTGGGAGATTCTGAAGAGAAGTTGCAGAGATTGGTGGATGAATTTGGTAGGGTGTGCAAAAGAAGAAAATTAAAAGTGAATACAGGAAAGAGTAAGGTTATGAGGATAACAAAAAGATTAGGTGATGAAAGATTGGATATCAGATTGGAGGGAGAGAGTATGGAGGAGGTGAATGTATTCAGATATTTGGGAGTGGACGTGTCAGCGGATGGGTCTATGAAAGATGAGGTGAATCATAGAATTGATGAGGGGAAAAGGGTGAGTGGTGCACTTAGGAGTCTGTGGAGACAAGGAACTTTGTCCTTGGAGGGAAAGAGGGGAATGTATGAGAGTATAGTTTTACCAACGCTCTTATATGGGTGATGAATGTTGCAGCGAGGAGAAGGCTGGAGGCAGTGGAGATGTCATATCTGAGGGCAATGTGTGGTTGTGAATATAATGCAGAGAATTCGTAGTTTGGAAGTTAGGAGGAGGTGCAGGATTACCAAAACTGTTGTCCAGAGGGCTGAGGAAGGGTTGTTGAGGTGGTTCGGACATGTAGAGAGAACGGAGCGAAACAGAGTGACTTCAAGAGTGTATCAGTCTGTAGTGGAAGGAAGGCGGGGTAGGGGTCGGCCTAGGAAAGGTTGGAGGGAGGGGGTAAAGGAGGTTTTGTGTGCGAGGGGCTTGGACTTCCAGCAGGCATGCGTGAGCGTGTTTGATAGGAGTGAATGGAGACAAATGGTTTTTAATACTTGACGTGCTGTTGGAGTGTCAGCAAAGTAACATTTATGAAGGGGTTCAGGGAAACCGGCATGCCGGACTTGAGTCCTGGAGATGGGAAGTACAGTGCCTGCACTCTGAAGGAGGGGTGTTAATGTTGCAGTTTAAACTGTAGTGTATAGCACCCTTCTGGCAAGACAGTGATGGAGTGAATGATGGTGAAAGTTTTTCTTTTTTGGGCCACCCTGCCTTGGTGGGAATCGGCCAGTGTGATAATAAAATAAATAAAATATTCAGATATGCATTCTTCATGATTGTTGATACTTAGTATAAAATTTAACAAATGTAGTAGTAATTCAGTAGATGAATATTTTGCCTAATATTTTGATATTGAGTTGCTCACGTAGTTTAAATTGCATATATATTTTTTTTAACGTATCAGCCATTTACCACCAAGGCAGGGTGACCCAAGAAGAAAGAAAAACCCAAAAAGAAAGAAAAAATTTTCATCATACAACACTTTCACCATCACTCATACATAATCACTGTCTTTGCAGAGGCACTCCCACTCTGTCATTTGCTCTCTTTTTGCACTCTCTCACCACTCTCTTCATATTTCTTATACTCTCCATATACTCTGCCCTTCTTATATCACTTCTGCTTTGTAAAAACCTCTCAAGCTAATTTTTTTTCTCTTTTATTGCAGCCTTTACCTCATCATTCCACCAATCATTCCTCTTTCCTCCTGCACCCACCCTCCTATAGCCACAAACTTCTGCCCCACATTCTAATACTGCATTTTTAAAACTATTCCAACCCTCTTCAACTCCCCCAATACTCATACTTGCACTAGCCAACCTTTCTGACAATAGTTGTTTATATCTCACCACCCTAACTTCCTCCTCCCTTAGTTTATAAACTTTCACCTCTCTCTTATTTACTGTTGCCATTTTCCTTGTCCCATCTACCTCTTACTCTAACTGTAGCTACAGCTAGATAATGATCCGATATATCCGTTGCCCTTCTATAAACATGTACATCCTGGAGCCTACCCATCAACCTTTTGTCCACCAACACATAATCTAACAAACTACTTTCATTACATGCCATATGATACCTTGTATACTTATTAGTCCTCTTTTTCATAAAATATGTATTACTTACATAGGTAGTAGGTTGGTAGACAGCAACCACCCAGGGAGGTACTACCGTCCTGCCAGGTGAGTGTAAAACGAAAGCCTGTAATTGTTTTACATGATGGTAGGATTGCTGGTGTCCTTTTTTCTTTCTCATGAATATGCAAGATTTCAGGTATGTTTTGCTACTTCTACTTACACTTAGGTCACACTACACATACATGTACAAGCACATATATACACACTCCTCTGGGTTTTCTTCTATTTTCTTTCTAGTTCTTATTCTTGTTTATTTCCTCCTATCTTCATGAGGAAGTGGAACAGAATTCTTCCTCCGTAAGCCATGCGTGTTGCAAGAGGTGACTAAAATGCTGGGAGCAAGGGGCTAGTAACCCCTTCTCCTGTATATATTACTAAATTTAAAAGGAGAAACTTTCGTTTATCTTCTTGGGCCACCCTACCTCAGTGAGATACGGCCGGTACGTTGAAAGAAGAAGAAGAATATATATACGTGTATATGTAATATATAGGTAGGGGAAGTGGAATATTCAAGCGGCTTCAAGAAGAAATCCAAATATTCTTCCTTGAAGCCTTTTTATTCACTTCTCTGAGGCTATGGGTCCCACAATTTACACCAGAGGTGGGCCCTATGTAAAATATATAAAATATACAAATCGTATATTGTAAATTTTTGCATTTAAATATATATTGCATCACTTGAAAGTTATTGCATGTACAGTAGACCCCCACTTAATGACTTAGATAGAGACAGGTGGAATGGTTCATTAAGCAAGAAATATGTTAAATGAATCACATTTTTTGTTTGCAGCTCATTTTATAACTTGAGAAGACAGCTTTTGCCATATTGAGCAGCTTCCTGACAGTTTGGGAAGAAGTATTGCCCAAAGCTTGTTGATAACAGTAATAGAAAGTTCCCAGGTATGTCAGGTTGATTCCCTTGGTTAAGCCTCAGCAGAAGAGGACACCTACACCCTCACTTGAGTTCAGTTACTGGCATTCAACCAAAATCACAAAGTATCCACAGAGCAGAAAAATGGTGCTAATGGGTGTTGCCCCTTTAATATACACAGCGGGTACAGTGAGATGAGGGTAACATCCCTGGGAGAATCAGGAAAATTTGTTACTGATGCTCAGTTTGAGTCCTGGAGGTGGCAAGTATAGTGCCTATACTCTGAAAGAAGAGTGGGGATATTTGCAGTTTTGGGGGAATTTGAACTGTAGTATTGGTGCACCTCTGGCAAGACAGTGATGAAATGAATAATGATGAGTGTTTCTTTTTTGGGTCACTCTGCCTCATTGGGAGATGGTGGTCCATTGAAAAAATATACAAACACAGATATACATGTATATACAAACAATATATATACATATATATTTTACATATTATCTTAGAAGAGTATTGCATGTACTAGTGGTTGTTTCTCTGTAGCCTGCATGTCTGGTGAGTGGAGGTGCAGAGATGGAACCTGTGTGCCACAGCAAGCAAGATGTAATTATCAATATGAATGTCCTGATTATTCAGATGAAGAGCAATGTCAACAAGGTATAATGCATTTACATTTATTAAATGAATGGTCTTGTGTGAGCTTATCTCTGAGAGCAGTTAGGCTACTTGTAACTTTAGTTATGCTGGTTATGATGTGTGATGTGAACATGGGACTATTTTTCTTACATTATATATATATGTGATAGTGTTTTCATGCTTTTGATTCATGTTCTTCGCTTGTCATGTAATTTTTTGTTTGAGTTTGTAGGTAGATGAGTAAATGTTTCTTTCTTTGTATGTATAACATGACCAGGATGTTTAAAAAAAATTATATAATGTGTAAAGGAAGAAGGTTGAAAGTGAACATAGATAAGAGTAAGGTGATGAGGATATCAAATGAGTTAGGTAAAGAAAAACTGGATATCAGGTTGGAGGCAGGGAGTATGGATGAAGTGAATGTGTTCAGATATTTGGGAGTAAACTTGTATGTGGATGGGTTTATGAAGGACAAGGTAAACCATAGAATTGATGATGGAAAAAACGTGGGTGGTGCAGTGAGGTATCTTTGGAAACAAAGAATGCTATCCATGGAGGCAACAAGAGAAATGTATGAGAATATAATGGTCCCAATGCTCTTATATGGGTGTGAAGCATGGGTTGTGAGTGTTGCAAGGAGGAGGGTGGAGGCAGTGGAGATGTCATGTCTATGGGCAATGTATGGCGTAACTATTATGCAAAGAATTTGTAGTATGGAAATTAGGAGGAGGTGTGGAGTTACTAAAAGTATTATTCAGAGGGCTGAAGAGGGGTTATTGAGGTGGTTTAGTCATTTAAAGAGGATGGAGTAAAATAAGATGACTTACAGGGTGTATAAATCTGTAGTGGAGGGAAGGGCGAGTAGGGGTCATCCTCGGAAAGGATGGAGGGAGGGGGGGTAAAAGAGGTTTTGTGTGCAAGGGGCTTGGACATAGAGCAGGCATGTGTGAGCATGTTAGATAGGAGAGAGTGGAGATGAATGGCTTTTGGGGTTTGATAAGCTGTTGGAGTGTGAGCAGGGTAATATTTTGTGAAGGGATTCTGGGAAACCAGTTAGACGGACTTGAGTACTGGAGGTGGGAAGTACAGTGGCTGCACTCTTAAAGGAGGTGTGGAGATATATTTGCAGTTTTGAACTGTAGTGTTGGGAAACCTCTGGCAAGACACTGAGGAGTTAGTGATGATGAAAGTATTTTTTTATTTTTTGGGGTCACCCTGCCTCAGTAGGAAATAGCCAATGTGTTAAAAAAGAATTATATGGTAATTTTTGCAAGCCACACAGAAAGTACACCACATGAGATGGGATGATGCTTATCTAGTTATCCAGAAATGTTTAGAAGGCTTCTTTATGGTAACCTCAAACACCATCCTATAAAAGTATGGCAGCTTAAGCATTTCCAAATATTTGGCAGTTAAGTTGTTGCCCAGCCTAGACATGGTGATCAGGTGACACTAACCCATGTGCACCATTATGTGATATCCCGTGCTCATCGCTGTTAAACAGTAGTGTCCTGTTACCATACTTATTGGCAATCCTACTATTCTAATTTACAGTAGCAGTCTTCCACTGCTTCAATGGAAGACTGCTACTGTGTAACACATTGCATCAGAGTTGAAATTGCACCATATATTATTTCAGCAATGTGATCACTTTCATGTAAACATCAATATTAACATAGTACAGTATTTAAATAAGTGCATTGTCCTTCTATAAACTTTGTTGACAGTGCTTTACTTGCTTTACTTTGTAAAGTGAACAGAGGAAGATGTTAAGAACATTGTGAACATAGACTGGTAAATAATAGTGTAAATTAATAATTTCTAAGATCCACTTATTCAAGTGTTTTATAAATTTATCTTGTTTTGTCTGTACAGTAATTATCTTCAATTGTTTATGTTTACATAGTTTTGCATGCATGCTTATATTTACCTATATAACTTTGCATTCATCTGGTAATGCATGTATCTAATACAGCATGTAATATCTAATGTATTTTTGCTTAAAAGGTTAATTGCTTTATTAATGCATGATCTCTTTAATATATATATACAAAGCTTGTAGGCCAGGGGAATGGACTTGTTTAGATGGGACGTGTCTCCCATATCAAGTTCGCTGTGATGGATATCCTCAGTGTTATGACTACTCTGATGAAGAGAACTGTCCAGTATGTAAGTTCTGAAAACTTTCATCCTAAATTTGTTTGCAATTATAATATCAGAAATAGCTTTCACTGTGGTAATTCTTGGTTTAACAAGTAACTTGAGGTTTATATACATATATTTTCTGGGAAAGTGTCTTTATATTATCTGTTTCTTTCTGTTTCAATATAAAGTTTCATCTAATTGGTTGTCTTTTATAGCTAGATCCATTAAAGACAGCATGAAATGCAAATAAATAAAAAAAATATCAGGCTTCACCAACTGCCTTTAAATATAGGGAAGTATTCTGCATTATTGATGTCTGTTTGTCCATACCATCAGTATGTGAGCCTTGTTTATTCAGCTACAGGACCTTAATTGTAAATGCATTTTCACCATTTCTGCTTATAAGTGTTGAATGAGATTAAAAGTTATTGCTTTATACCATGCTATGAATTGTTTGTTTCCTCTCGATTGACCTACATTCATTCCTTGCTACTTAATCATAGTTGATGTCTACTGGCAAATATTACTTATAAGCTGGGGCATCTGTAGTTTTTCTATACAGATTTGCTAATTACTGTATTTGGAAATGCCATACTGTATATGTCATGTCAGCAGCCAGTTTGCTTTCTCATGTACAATGTAATTCCAGTGTTGTATTGCTGTATATGATAATTCTCATAACTGATACTCCAAGTTGTGGGACATTTTTTTTTTTTTTTTATTATCACACTGGCCGATTCCCACCAAGGCAGGGTGGCCCGAAAAAGAAAAACTTTCACCATCATTCACTCCATCACTGTCTTGCCAGAAGGGTGCATTACACTAGTTTTTAAACTGCAACATTAACACCCCTCCTTCAGAGTGCAGGCACTGTACTTCCCATCTCCAGGACTCAAGTCCAGCCTGCCGGTTTCCCTGAAGCCCTTCATAAATGTTACTTTGCTCACACTCCAACAGCACGTCAAGTATTAAAAACCATTTGTCTCCATTCACTCCTATCAAACACGCTTACGCATGCCTACTGGAAGTCCAAGCCCTTCGCACACAAAACCTTTACCCCCTCCCTCCAACCTTTCCTAGGCCGACCTCTACCTCGCCTTCCTTCCACTACAGACTGATACACTCTTGAAGTTATTCTGTTTCGCTCCATTCTCTCTACATGTCTGAACCACCTCAACAACCCTTCCTCAGCCCTCTGGACAACAGTTTTGGTAATCCCGTACTTCCTCCTAACTTCCAAACTACGAATTCTCTGTATTATATTCACACCACACATTGCCCTCAGACATGACATCTCCACTGCCTCCAGCCTTCTCCTCGCTGCAACATTCATCACCCATGTTTCACACCCATATAAGAGCGTTGGTAAAACTTTACTCTCATACATTCCCCTCTTTGCCTCCAAGGACAAAGTTCTTTGTCTCCACAGACTCCTAAGTGCACCACTCACCCTTTTCCCCTCATCAATTCTATGATTCACCTCATCTTTCATAGACCCATCCGCTGACACATCCACTCCCAAATATCTGAATACATTCACCTCCTCCATACTCTCTCCCTCCAATCTGATATCCAATCTTTCATCACCTAATTCTTTTTGTTATCCTCATAACCTACTCTTTCCTGTATTCACCTTTAATTTTCTTCTTTTGAAACACCCTACCAAATTCATCCACCAATTTCTCTGAAAACTTCTCTTCAGAATCTCCCAAGAGCACAGTGTCATCAGCAAAGAGCAGCTGTGACAACTCCCACTTTTTTTGTGATTCTTTATTTTTAACTCCACGCCTCTTGCCAAGACCCTCGCATTTCTTCTCTTAAAACCCCCATCTATAAATATATTAAACAACCACGGTGACATCACACATCCTTGTCAAAGGGCCTACTTTTACAGGGAAATAATTTCCCTCTTTCCTACATACTCTAACTTGAGCCTCACATCCTCTTTTAAAAACTCTTCAATGCTTTCAGTAACCTACCTCCTACACCATACACCTGCAACATCTGCCACATTGCCCCCCTATCCACCCTGTCATATGCCTTTTCCAAATCCAAAAATGCCACAAAGACCTCTTTAGCCTTATCTAAATACTGTTCACTTATATGTTTCACTGTAAACACCTGGTCCACACACCCCTACCTTTCCAAAAAGCCTCCTTGTTCATCTGCTATCCTATTCTCCGTCTTACTCTTAATTCTTTCAATAATACTCTACCATACACTTTACCAAGTATACTCAACAGACTTCTCCCCCTATAATTTTTGCACTCTCTTTATCCCCTTTGCCTTTATACAAAGGAACTATGCATGCTCTCTGTCAATCCCTAGGTACCTTACCCTCTTCCATACATTTATTAAATAATTGCACAACCACTCCAAAACTATATCCCCACCTGCTTTTAACATTTCTATCTTTATTTCCCCTCAATCCCCCGGTGCCTTACCCCCTTTCATTTTACCTACTGCCTCACAAACTTCCCCCACACTCACAAACTGGCTCTTCTTCACTCCTACAAGATGTTATTCCTCCTTGCCTATACACGAAATCACAGCTTCCCTATCTTCATCAACATTTAACAATTCCTCAAAATATTCCCTCCATCTTCCCAATACCTCTAACTCTCCATTTAATAACTCTCCTCTCCTATTTTTAACTGACAAATCCATTTGTTCTCTAGGCTTTCTTAACTTGTTAATCTCACTCCAAAACTTTTTCTTATTTTCAACAAAATTTGTTGGATAACATCTCACCCACTCTCTCATATGCTCTCTTTTTACATTGCTTTACCACTCTCTTAACCTCTTCTTTTTTCTTCATATACTCTTCCCTCCTTGCATCACTTCTACTTTGTAAAAAACTTCTCATATGCTAACTTTTTCTCCTTCTACTACTCTCTTTACATCATCATTCCACCAATCGCTCCTCTTCCCTCCCGCACCCACTTTCCTGTAACCACAAACTTCTGCTGAACACTCTAACACTACATTTTTAAACCTACCCCATACCTCTTCGACCCCATTGCCTATGCTCTCATTAGCCCATCTATCCTCCAATAGCTGTTTATATCTTACCCTAACTGCCTCCTCTTTTAGTTTATAAACCTTCACCTCTCTCTTCCCTGATGCTTCTATTCTCCTTGTATCCCATCTACCTTTTACTCTCAGTGTAGCTACAACTAGAAAGTGATCTGATATATCTGTGGCCCCTCTATAAACATGTGCATCCTGAAGTCTACTCAACAGTCTTTTATCTACCAATACATAGTCCAACAAACAACTGTCATTTCGCCCTACATCATATCTTGTATACTTATTTATCCTCTTTTTCTTAAAATATGTATTACCTATAAACTAAACCCCTTTCTATACAAAGTTCAATCAAAGGGCTCCCATTATCATTTACACCTGGCACCCCAAACTTACCTACCACACCCTCTCTAAAAGTTTCTCCTACTTTAGCATTCAGGTCCCCTACCACAATTACTCTCACTTGGTTCAAAGGCTCCTATACATTCACTTAACATCTCCCAAAATCTCTCTCTTCCTCTGCATTCTCTCTTCTCCAGGTGCATACACGCTTATTATGACCCACTTCTCGCATCCAACCTTTACTTTAATCCACTTAATTCTTGAATTTACACATTCATATTCTCTTTTCTCCTTCCATAACAGATCATTCAACATTACTGCTACCCCTTCCTTTGCTCTAACTCTCTCAGATACTCCAGATTTAATGCCATTTATTTCCCCCCACTGAAACTCCCCTATCCCCTTCAGCTTTGTTTCGCTTAGGGCCAGGACATCCAACTTCTTTTCATTCATAACATCAGCAATCATCTGTTTCTTGTCATCCGCACTACATCCACGCACATTCAAGCATCCTAGTTTTATAAAGTTTTTCTTCTCTTTTTTAGTAAATGTCTACAGGAGAAGGGGTTACTAGCCCATCGCTCCCGGCATTTTAGTCGCCTCATATGACACGCATGGCTTACGGAGGAAAGATTCTTTTCCACTTCCCCATGGACAATAGAAGAAATAAAGAAGAACAAGAGCTATTTAGAAAAAGAAGAAAAACCTAGATGTATGTATATATATATACATGCATGTGTGTGTTTGTGAAGTGTGACCAAAGTGTAAGTAGGAGTAGCAAGATATCCCTGTTATCTAGCGTGTTTATGAGACAGAAAAAGAAACCAGCAATCCTACCATCATGCAAAACAGTTACAGGTTTCTGTTTCACAGTCATCTGGCAGGACGGTAGTACTTCCCTGGGTGGTTGCTGTCTACCTACCTACTACCTACTACATATTTATTACCGTTAATTTGTATTCTCTATTTCAAAAATTTAATATGAAGTTAAGTGGTTGCATCTTATCTCCAACTACAAATTTTATGCAGAGATAATATGGTACGTGCAAAGAAATAGTGGACATTACAAGAATTGATGCTCATATATGATGGCTAGAGCCTGAAATGCTCTGCATAGAAGGGGCTTTTGGCATGTACACTCAACAACAATATTCCTTTGTATAACTTTTTTTTTTTTTTTTTAACAAGTCGGCCGTCTCCCACCGAGGCAGGGTGACCCAAAAAGAAAGAAAATCCCCAAAAAGAAAATGCTTTCATCATCATTCAACACTTTCACCTCACTCACACATAACCACTGTTTTTGCAGAGGTGCTCAGAATACAACAGTTTTGAAGCATATACATATAAAGATACACGACATATCTCTCCAAACTGCCAATATCCCAAACCCCTCCTTTAAAGTCCAGGCATTGTACTTCCCATTTCTGGTACTCAAGCCCGGCTATATAAAAATAACTGGTTTCCCTGAATCCCTTCACTAAATATTACCCTGCTCACACTCCAACAGATCGTCAGGTCCCAAATACCATTCGTCTCCATTCACTCCTATCGAACACGCTCATGCGCCCTTGCTGGAAGTCCAAGCCTCCTCTCACCCACGAAACCTCCTCTACCCCTCCTTCCAACCTTTTCGAGGGTGACCCATACTCCGCCTT